CGTTTTCGCACCGGGCCGTTTTCGCGCCGCGCCGCACACGGCCGTTTTCACGCCGCACCACGCTGCGCCCGGCCGCTTTCCGGAACGGATTAACCGGATTTACATTGAACCCTATGGGGAAATTTCCTTCGGGTTACGACCAACTCGGGATACGCCCAGAGTCACGGAACGGATTAAGTTCATATCCCGAGGTACCACTGTATTTTAGCATCCAAGACTTATCAACAACATAAGCTTAACAAAAACTCTCAGAGAAGAGGTACACTACTTGGTTTAGTTACAACTACATAACCCATAAAAACGACTACATGGTGAAACTCTACTATACTGAGACTCTACTGAGAGGCTTGGCATATGATCCTCCCATTATATTGCCACTATGTGCCCCCCCACTGGGTAACTAGCATACACACGCCGATAGGTGGCAGTAAATAGCAGTATACATGCAAAGTAAAACACTAAACAAAGTCATACAATTTACTTAGCCATAACAAACTGTTTTGCAGATAATGAGATGAATTTCTTCCCATGAGAAAATCCTAACACCCCTCTCAGCTCGTTTTCAAAAAAACAACAATACACATTACAGGGTAGTACAGACAAATGGTTACAACAATGCAAAAAGCAATTACATTTGTTCAAATCCAAGTCTAGTTAACATTGCTTTATGTTATACAATAGGCAATGGTTTGGAAATACATCTGCAAGATTTGATTCAGATACACAATACACAAGATCAATGAAATTTTCTAACATAGCTTGTCTTACATTCTTGTACTTCACATCTACATACTTTGTATGAGCTCTTAGGTTTTCTGTTTTAGCTAATCCTATACAGGCTTGTGAATCTTCGTGCACTGTATAAGGCAATGACACTTGTATGCCTAAATCAGTGAATAATTGATGAAACCATCTTAACTCATAGACTGTTTCTGACAAAGCTGCGAATTCAGCTTCTGCAGTTGACAAGCAATGGAAGATTGTTTCTTTGCTTTCCATGCAATTGTGGATTCACCAAATTTACAAACAAACCCAGTTATGGACTTTCTGTCATTTAGCCACAACAAACTGTTTTGCAGATAACGAGATGAATTTCTTCCCATGAGAAAATCCTAACATTAAGATGCTATGCTCTGAAAGTGATGTTTTCCCACCATCCTGTCTCAAGACCCTGTGTGCAGACAATGTAGGGCCTGTTGATGTGCACCAGGGAGGCAGCCTGAAATGATGTGCTTCATGCTGGCAATCTTGGGGCTCCAGTTGGTTTTGCCAGTTTTCTGTGGGACCGCTCCCTTCAGTCTGGTCCCCAACCTCTTCGTGGACCAGTCTTTTTTGGCTGCAAGGGAAAGAACTCCAGCTTCCATAGCTATTAAAAAAAAAAAAAAATCCAGGCCTGGAAACATCTTGAAGGTGCAAGGTACAAATCCCATAAATATAGCTTTCAGCAATAATAAAAGCTGAATATAGCTGAATATATATTTCTGTGGTGAAAGGCTGGCTAACCAAGGTACTGTATAGCTCTATCAAATATAATATGTCTTGTTCTTTTCACTGTTGTTCTATGTTTCAATTAATTTAACTACTAAACTGAGTTTATAAATATCTTAAATTGGGATTAATTATAATTCCTTTCAGATTGGATTGAAAAGATGAATTAAACTGGCCTATTTCAGAAGGGAAAAAAATTGAGCTCCCGCTCCGCCAACCTGCTTCTGAGTAAGGCCCCAGGGAGTTGATTCACAAAAGCAAACAGCTTCAGAATATCATCTTGGTAGAGCAAAAACGCTGAGCCTCAGATTCAGAACCACACATCTCCTTCCTGAGATCAATGTGAAGTGTGTCTGAGGAAAATGTGGCAGTGGAGTCTTATCTTGAGTAGGCATTTAAGTGCAAAAAGATTATTTGGTAGGAAGTATAATCAATTTATTTGTAGTTCTTCAGCACTGTATTAAAAAGTAAAATTGCCATAAGTTGTTGTTGTTGTTGCAGTTTGTCCAAGAGAAGAGAAAACATATACTTTGCATGTAGAAGATCCCAGATTGATGTTGGAGTCAAAAACAACAGCTGCATGGGAGTCACTGCTAAGCAGCCATACTGAATAAGACAAAATAAAAATCTGGCTTAGCATAAGTCAGCTTCCCATTTTTCTAAAGATAACACACTATATATTTTTATAACCTTGCAGGAAAATTAATGGGCCCTTGGGAAAAAGATGGAAGAGATTCCTTTTGTTCCTATGCTTTTTCTGCAGGTAAAACATGGATGCTCCAGACTAGTTTGGTGCACTCTGGTTGGAAAAACATTTTATTATTACAGAGATCAGGAAGACAAAATACATTTCCTCCCTGTTATAGCTGGCATTTTGATGTGATATGATGTGAATATCATCAGTTTTAGCAAATATCTTTTGATTCCAGCAATAACCTTCTGGTTTTATTCCTAGTCATTTATTACTGTTAATTCTGTTACAGATTCATATTATATTGAAACATGAAGCTGTAAAGACCAACATAGGCAGGAATCTTTGATTTCATAAATATATTTAGAGAGAATGTTAGACCACACAGTGATGGAGGAAGAGTTGTTTGAACTGTAAAATTACTTTAAGGAGGGAAGACTGACTAAAATATAATATTTATGATATGTTCTTATTTCTCTACTGTAATAACATCACAGTAATAAGTTCAAAGTATAATAACATTCTAGGACTGAATAAAAAATGGAATTAAACTCTGCTAGTAGTTAGACATAAACTGTATTTTCAAAACATTAAGACATAGTAAAACATGAATTTTGGACACATTGTGCAAAGACCTAGCTCTCTGGAAAAGTCCATAATGCTGGGAAAGGCAGAAGGAAAGAGAGGTGACCAGCAGCAAGGTGGATAGAGTCAGTTACAGCAACGTTGGGTGCACCATTGAAAGAGCTGAAGGACCAGGTTGGAGACAGATCATCCTGGAGAAAATCTATGTGGTTGCTAATAGCTGACACCCACTTAATGGCACATAATCAAAAATGCTTGAATTGCAAGCTGTGTTTAAATTACAGATATTTTGAAGTAGCTGTAGTCTAGATAAAATGTAAATTTCAGCAACCTAAGGATTAAGATATATTTTCTAAGGCAGTCTTAACAAATTAAGTTGAAAACACTGGTTGCAGCCTCTGAGGTCCCTTATCTGGGCTTGGAAGCTCAGCAGGATCAGTGTGGTTAATAGTTGGATGGGAGAGCACTAGAACGGCACCATCAAGCCCTGGGGGATCATCCACTCTAAAATGCAACATTTTCTCCAGCAGGTCTTGGATAAATACTATCCAAGTGCTATAAACATAGTTTTACTCCTGAGCAGCTAACGTAACAGAACACTTCATCATCGCTCCATGGGTACTGAAAGTGAACTAGCATGCATGCCAGTTCTAAACTATCAAACAAAACATACCGTATTTTTCCGACTATAAGACGATACTTTTTTCTAAAATCCTTACCCTAAAAACTGAAGGGCGTCTT